AATATATAGCTTTATTTATTCAGTGAAAGGTCTATTTAGTCTTAATGCTTACTTCTTTTATGTTAAATAAAAGACCTAGCATATACTTATATATAAAGATAATTTAGCATAATGAAGTAATAATTATTTATTAAGCAAAGTTAAGATAATTTAATATTAAGAAGGTTTAAAGATGTTAAATATAAAGTAAAATAAGTTATTTATTTAGAACAGTCTTTGTAATTTTATTCATAACTCTATTTATAACTTTATTTTTAATTTAATCTATAACTTGTTTTTTAGAAAGACAAAAAGAATTTTTATTTATACAGTTTTATTTTTTTTTTTTGATATTAAGGTGACTTTTTTGATCATAGCTTTTTATTAATACTTATATCAAGTATATGTTTTATATAGATGTATTCATAATAAACTATCAGACAAATGTACAACTGGCTACATGTGTAACTTTTCTATATTACCTATTTAAGGAGTTCATCTGAAGATTTCCTATCAGTTGCCATACCTAACACTTTTGCTTAGATGTTTCATTTAAACTCTTTGATCTAACTTTGGTATTAATTTTACTAGATCACAAACCCAGATTTATTTGCTTTTAACTATAGGACTATAATTCTTAGACTATTTTTATCCTTAAGATAAACCTACCAAAGCAAGCCATATTTTTTTTTACTGTTAATCTGGTTTGACGTTATAGTCAAGACCAATACTTGTAATTAGAGTTACATTTTAAACTGCTATTACTCTTGCAAAGTTTATCCAAATCCTGATATCCATCTTTCTGACTTCTTCTTCATTATCTTCTACTAGTCATAACTTAGAACTAACTGACTTCTCAGATTTCTAATCCAGATGGCCCAGTATAATATATTTATGTATTCTTTTCCTTTAGTGATTCTGGTAACCTAGTTGGTTATATGCTTCTTTACACATCTTGTTATCCAGTTTATTTGATAGTTTCTATAAAGATGTTTCATGAGCTTCTATTGGTCCAATGACACTATTGAAAGTTTGTGCTACCTTTTTACTTAGGATTTCAAGTAGGTTTTTGTTTTCTCAGTTTCTTAGCCTTTTACACTTGATGGTCTTATTACAAGTTTGTACTGAAGCCTTATACAATACTGGTTTTTTTACATTCCTCTATATATATATAATGTTACACTTTGCATAAATGCCCTAAACTTTCAATGTTAGATGGGACCTAACTTGGTATATCTAAGATTACAGATGCCCAAAACCCAACCAATCAGCAAGAGACAGTTACTGTAATACAGGTATAATTTTCAAAATTCATCATCTGTGGAAATTGAACCTTAGACCTGCCACTTGAGGGTTGACAATCTATCTACTTTACTAGATTACCACACCCATATTTATATAGTTTTATTTATAACAGCTATAATAATTAATTATATAAAAAGTCATTGAAGAATTGCATAATAGAACATAAGAACCTTGGTAGTTATAGAACCCTATAACAAGAACTAATAATAAAACAAATAGAAGATCTAGTAGTAAGACTAAATAGAAAAGATAAATTAAAATAGTTAACAAAGCTACAAATAATACAGAGTTGTCAAAAAGCAAGTTTAACAGAAGATATATGAAAAGTAAAAAAATTATCAGAAAACAAGTTATGTTAGAAGAACAAGTTAGTTTATTTGATAATAGTTAAAGTGAAAAAGTTAGAAATAAATATAAATACAGAAAGTAAATTATAGATAGCAACTGATTATAGTTTTAGAATAATCAATTTAGTAGAACTATAACTGTGAAAAAAAAATAGAATCAAAATAAGTGAAGCTAAACTAATATATTTAAATCAACTACTTGATATAAAAGAAGAAAGACTAATAACATAACAGCAATTTAAAAACCACCAAAAACAATCAAGTAAAGACAAAAAAGCAAAGTGGTTCAAAATAATAAAACAAAAGTGCTAACCAGATTTAAAAGCAAAAAAGTTAAAGAACAATTCAAGACAGACAAATATAATATATAGGCAATGAAAATTATGTAATACATAGTGCAATAGAGAATAAGTAATTGGAAAAAATAATTAAAAAAAAGAAAAAGCTATTAATAGAACACTAACAGGTATATAATATAGAAAATAACTTAATAACTAAAATTAACAAATACAAGAGGTATATGAGAGAAGAAAAAACAGTAAAGAATAACTATTAATATTAGATATGAATTAATAACAAAATAAATATGATTTCAGATACATTATTGAAAAAAAATAACAATATAATTAAAAAAAACAGTTACTGATCAACTAATAGAATATATAAGAATAGAGAAGTTAAAAGAAAATGAACAAAAGCTAATAGGACTTAAAATGTTAGAAGGTTTAGAAATAGAGTTAGAAAACAAAAGCTATAAAAAAATATTAGTCAAGAGTTAATAGAGATCTTAAGAAGAAATATAGCAAAAGACAAGAACAAATATATGATATATACAGGTAGTGTAGCAAATAAAAAAACAATGAAGAAACAATAGATAGAAACATGGATATAGAATAAGTACAAACAAGTAAAACACAAGATTGGTTAAAAGAGAAGGTAGCATTAGGAGTAAAAGAATAGCTTATATCTATGACAACTAAGATGCTAGCAATATAAGCAGTAGTATTAATAATACCAAAGAAGAAAAAACTAGAAATATTTATAGATAGCAATATAGTAATTAAGAATATTAGTAAAAGCTTAGTGTATATAGATAGGAATAAAGTTCTTAAAAGAAAAAATGCATTATAGGTATTAAAGATAACTGATATAATTAGAACAAAAAACATACAAGTAGAGTGAGTCAAAGTAAAAAGTTATAATAGAAACAAATAAAATAATAAAGCTAATAGTCTTGTGAAAAAGAAAACATTAAGTAAAAAGATAATTTTTCTAAAATAAGTTAGCTATAAAAAAATAAAGTACTATCTAGAATAGGAAAACAAGTGAATAGACTTACTAGCAAGACTTCTATATAAAATAGTAACAAATGTCAAATTAGAAATAGAGCAGAAGAAAACAATAGTGATTAAGAATATAGAACTAGTAACAAAAACAATGATTTATAATTGGACATATTTTTGGAAAAGGCTGAAGTTATCTAAAGGAGTATATTATTTGACAAAAAGAAGCAGTACAAAAAGAAGTATTTTTATGAAGTATATATCAAACAAATTCCTAACTTTGAAAAAACTCAATAGAAGAAGACCAAATATATACATAATAGCAAAATATCAAGCCTGTTAAAGCAAAGCTAAAGAAATACAAGAATATTTGACATATTGTAAAGAACAAACACACTTATGAAAAAGAATACAGAAAATAACTATTGCAACAGTATAGAAAAGTTTAAAAAAAAAGAAAAAATCTAGGTCTTAACTTACATATTATATATGACACTTTTTGAAAAAACAGAAAAAAATAAAATAAAAATAAGGAAAACATTAATTAAAGACCTAATTTCAAAAACAAGACAAAATTTATAAGCATAGTAGCAAAAACAGTATAAAATATATTCTATAAATAAGTTTAAAGAATACACTATAAAAAGGTTAATATATAGAAAAAAAAGAAGAATAATGAGTAAAGTAAAGAAAGAAAAACAGAAAAAAAAAGAAAATTTAAGCAAGAAGAGAAAGACTAATTAGCAAGAAATAGAAGAGAAAACAAAAAAAAACAAAAAAAAAACAAAACCAAATTGAAGAGAAAGTTAGGAAACAATTTAAGAGCTTGTTATAGAAGAAAGAAAACTCTTTTATTACAGACTTTAAGTAGTCAAACAAGCAGCTTACTTTTGCTAAAGGTAATGTAACAGGTTGCACTTAGGTGTTATTCGAGTAGCCAGATGATGTTAGACTTAGTTGTTAAGTATATTTATATAATTATAATAGTAATTTTAAAAATCTTAATAAAACACTAAAATGACTGCTTAAAAAAAAAATAAAATAAAATATTAACTCAATGCTAATAATTTTAACTAATTCTTTATTTTTTCTTAGAATTTTTAGTTTATAACTCTTTAATATTTCTTTTTGTATTTTGTTTGACTTATCAAACAAATCTTAATATTTTTTTTTAGTTTTTTGTTTCAGTCAATTTGTATAATATTTTTTTATATTATTTTATATCTTTACTAGAAATACTTAATATGTAATTAATCTTTTTTGTCTATGTTTGTTTATTTATCTATGAGATTATATATTTATTTATTTGTTTTGTTGTATTTACTATTTACTTTGCCTTACTTTTACATGTTACATATATAATTTGCAATAGAGAGTTTCTGTGTTTTATTGTTTTTTTTCAAAAATTTTTACAAATAAAAATTTTTCAAAGAGTTTACTGATAAATTGTTACTATGCTGATACTCTGGTTTACTGTACTAATAACCTATATCTAATTTTCAACTAGTTTTTTTTTTGTCTGATCAACTACTGCACTTTGACTTAATAGTTTTTGTGTTTTCTATATTTTTTTTCTGCTTCAAATTTGATCATAAGAATCAGCAGAAAGAGTTTTTTTTTTGTTGCATACTAGAATTATCATTCTTAATATTTAATTTTAAATATTATTAATTTTAGTCTTTTTTTATAAAACTTTTAAATTTAAGTATTATAATTTATTATTATAGCAATATATTGCTACTTTTAATTAACCAATTAGAATGCAAAATCAGATATAATATAAAATCAAAGAAAACATAATTTTTTTAGAAAAATTTAAAAAAATTGCTTATAATATAAAAAAAATCACTGATATAACTCAAGTTTCCGAAAAAACATTGTCTCAACAGAATTAGCAAAAAGTTTGTCGATTTAGCCAGTATTTTGTTCTTTCAAGAAAATGACATACAGAAAATCGTACAGTTACATTATAATTATGGTAAGTGAATACATAATATTTTAGGATTAGGGGATAGTCTTATATAAAATAAATTTTACCTAGAATTTAAAAGTCCTATCCGCACCGACTTAATCCTATCCGGTCCAGCTAGTCAAACCGGTCGATCAAAAGTCGATCCAAAGTCGATCCAAAGTTGATCCAAAGTCGAAGTTTAGCTAATGCATAATAATCAGAAATGTTAAATTGACGAGTTTCAGCCCGGTCCTTAAAAGTTCAATATAGATCAGATCTGAAATCAAGGGGGTTTAATTAATTCTTAACTAGTCTTATCAGTATTGAAAAAAATAACATATATCCGGTTGCATATTAAAATTATTATTCATATAGCGATAGCTATTAGGACTCTGTTTACGTATAAGTGATTATACGTAGTCAGGACTCATTATACTTATGTAGTATTTATGAGCCAGACTCAATATGTCCATGTTGAACTGACTCTAGCGAACTTTTTTTTTTTTTTTTAACGAACCTAATTTTTTTTTTTATCCGAAAATTCTAGTTTTATTAAGAAACATTTACCGAAAATTCTAATTTTATTAAGCAATCCTATCCGAAATATCCGAAATTCTAGTTTTTATTAAGAAATTCTAGCCGAAAATTTTAATTTTATTAAGAAATTCCAATGCACATAAATTTTTGGGGGTCATAAAATAATTAATCAATGATAAAATATGATTCAATTAAATGATTGGAAGTTAATCAATTATGGGTTAGAATATTTTATTGTAATGAAAATTTTTTTTAAAAAAGAAGCTTTTTACGTATGTCCGTACACATGAAATTTAAATTTTGAAAATAATACCGATATCAAGAAGTTAGCTCAGAATCATTATTCGAAATCTAAAGATTTTTAATATTCGGGTTATCCGAGTGATGCAAAAGTCGTTAGATTTTGAACACTAGATTACAAGATCACAAGATCACAGGATCACAAAATTACAAATATTTTTTAATGTGGAATTTTAAAATCAAAAATCGGATGGTTTCGAGTACGTATACGTATACAAATCACCTTATCATAAATTCGATATAGAATATATAAAAAATTTATACGTACAGTACATATTAACATACAGTATTAAACATACATTTTTAATATACATTTTTAACATACATTATTAATATACATTATCAACATACACATTATTAACATACATTATTAACGTTAAGTTTTATATTTTCCATTTTACGCAAGGGTCAAACTTTAATTCTAATCCCAATGAAAATAGGATTGTACAATCGAAAGATAATATTTTACAGCAGAGACTGGTAATGTTACACATATATTAAAACTAGTAAGGAATCCAACATAAATAATTTAATTTGTGATTGATCACAAGCGAGAGAGATTCACTTTGGATCGGGCATTGTCTCTACTGTAATAATATTTGATGATGATAATATTTAATTAGATAAGTTTTCTTTTCATAAATTTGTTTAATATATAAATGACAGATAAGAAAAGAGACAAAACATTGAAACCATATTTCGCTTAGTTAATATATGCTATAGGTTCATACAAACATTTTTTTTTTTTCGTACTTACATACAAAGATCTAAATGTTAACTAGTGCTAATGATGATAGATTTTATTATTGATACATAGAATTAGGTTAAACATAATCAACCTAAAATGTTTTACGGTTAGAATTTTTAGAATTTTTCACACAAGTTTCTTTTTTAACTTTTTAGCATTTGTGTGTAAGTAACGTGTTAGCATGTGTTTATTTGGGCGCTCACAATAATAATTGAAGTTAGACTTAATACGTAAAAGAACACTAATTACGCAAAAGAAAGAAAGAAAAATTTCACACGTTTAGCAATCATATTATTCTTGAATAATAAGTACTTACTAATTTTAATATAATGATGAAAAGCACAAAAATAAGCAAATAATAAAAAAGCAGTAATAATAGTAATAATAAACTAGTATATAGTACGTAATACATTGGATAAGTAAATAGCATTAAAATAATTAAAGGCATTAAAAGGAATGGAGAAAATTAAGAAATGAATAAATTATGCAGATTACGCAATTTACACAAAAAAAAATAAAGGATTAAGGATTAGGTTAAACAGTATTATTGTTAAACAGTATCGGGGGTATGATTAAATTATGGCAATCATTATGGAAGGACAATAAGCACGTGACAAGACCCATCATCATTCATTCTATTGAAAAAAAATACGAGACCTACAATTTACCTAAAATAGTGATGATTGATGCAAGGTAACTAAAGTGAATGAATGATGGCCATTGTTCTAATGCTGCAATTCAATAATAATAGGAAGTTCATTAGAGATTTTTTCTAGCATAAAATATACCATATTTAAATATTTCAGTTACGGTAATATTGAAAATTCTTAAAGCTCGTAAGCCGTCTGACTGACATGCATATCATCATATGTATGTACGGTTATGTAATTACCTACTTATGCTACATATGTACGATATGTACGTAAGTATATGCGTTCATGTCTGTGCATTGACTATCTAATCGCGCATATACGAACCTATATAATTCGTTTAGATAATTAGTTTAGATAATTCGGTTGGATAATTCATTTGGATAATTCCTTTCGGGGTGATTTAATGTGATATATACTCTTATTTTTTTTTATTTTTTTAGAATCCTAGATGTATATTCAATGAATGAATGTGAATAAAAAAAAATTTTTTTGATGTAGTAAAAAAAATGATGTAGTAAAATTAGTAAATTTAGTACGTACATACATATATGTATGTATAATAAATGTATAATAACATAAATACATTACAGAATTATTAATTGATTAATGCGGCCTGAATAATATATTAAGACTTGAGTTCGGATGATCGAATTCGAAATAGCAAACAAAGGTAAACAAAGGTAACAACTGGTTTATTAATAAACATTGTCGTATCAATTTTCCGATAATTATTGTCATGCATGAAGTTGTGATGTAAATAGAAATTGCGTGACGTATTTTTTTTGATTAACACTTCTCGGAATATCGTTATATTATATTGGCATTTTCCTCATAGTTAATAAGTTTATCATTTCTATAATTTAAAATTACCGGGTAAAAGAAAAGCTCATTCTGTAAAAAAAAAAAATTTAGGCAGATCAGACAATAAATAAAATAAATGGATTATCATTATAATACCTTGGCTCAACTCTCTCACATGATTTTTGTCTGTAACTAGTTAGTACGTTATTAACTCAGTAAATTATTAAGGAAAACAACCTGTTTTTTTTTATTATGTGCATAAACATAACGGGAAAGTATTATTATAGTTTTTAAATTCAGCCGGGATATTACCCTTTAATAACAACCTGCGTAGTTACTACAAAATTCTAAAATTTATTTGTATTTTAACTTTACAATTAGTGAAAACTCGTATAGCGAATCTTTGAATATCATCACCTTGCTGAATTGCTTGCGAAATAGATAAAGAAATAAATAGAGATCGAGATCACCTGGCTTTCATTTTATTCTTTATCAATATTTCGTTTTCATATTCATTGTCATGTTCTTCCACAATTGGCTTCGTGCTGAACTAAATAGAAGCAAACGTTAATAAAATCAACTTGTTTTTGGATAAGTATCTACTGGTAAATGATTATCTATACGTTAAAAAAAGTAGGATTTATGTATCACATAATTCAACCTAAATACGTCACTTATTTTATCTGAAATCGGATGCCAAAATATTAATTGTGATTCTTCAATTTTATGAATTTTAGATGGATCTCTATAAGTTCTATAAGTTCTATAAGTTCTGTAAGTTGAATAAAAATCGTGTTTGTAGAAAAGAATATTTCGTCTTTTTTCGTAGTCAGTATATTTAAAAGAGAAAAAGGTACCTGAATTGATTTAAAATCATTTTATGTAAAATTTTATTTACGTATGAGCTAATGATGTATTTTATCATGTGAGAGGTCAGGTAATTATCTTCGTAATTAGTGGATTGGTCCCAGACACTGTCTGGGACCAATCTACTAATACCCAACGACCCAAGATATTATTATTACTAACAATAGTGACATTTGATCCGAGATTATTGGTAACCCTTACATGGTAAACTTAACGGGAAAGATAAAATTGATACTTAATATACATAATATACGTACATAGTATACGTACTTAATATGCGTACTTAATATACGTACTTAATTTGCTTAATTAATTGACTAAATTTGATACGTATTATTTATATTCTCATAAATATTATATATAAATAATAATAATAAATATTGAATTTTTTTTTGAAACAAAATCCAGAAACATTAGATACAGTACGTATCGGAGTGTTATGCGTAAAGTTAGCTCACGTGATAAGATTAATAATAAATCCAGGAACGAATTACATCAAAGTGAAAATTAATTCATCCATGTCGTCTTTCAATTGATCATAAATAAAAGACGTTAAGTAAATATTTTTTATAACATAATTCAATCGCATTCTGTATGTTCAAGCACCAATTAAAGAATTACAGAAAAATTATAAGACATATATCCAATCGAAGATTAGTATTAATAAAACAAATATGCGATAAATTTGAGACATAGTGTTAAAAAGTTTAGTAAGTAATTTCATGAACCATGATAAGGTTTCTGATAAGGTTGTATCGTGATCGAAATATCACCTAGCATAAATTGTAGCATAAATTATAGCATAAATTATAACATTGATTGTAGCATAAATTATAACATAAATTCTAAACATAAATTATAAAATTGTACGTAGCATAAATTATCGTGATAATTTCAATCTATATAACATAAAAAAAAAAAAAAAATTCGATGAAAGATAAAACTTTAAATGTAGTACTGCATGTAATGAAAGCAACCTAATTTTATAAAACTTATATCTATCCGTTTAAAGCTCATTGGGTTATCTTGTCTCGTATCACTATTATTTACCCAAAAATCTTTTAAACATTCTCCTATCTTTATATCTGTTTTTTTCGTTGTGCTTTTGTTTTCAATATTTTTATTAACATAATGCAGACATAAAAAGTTTAAAGTTTTGCGCGTGGGTGATACTCTCGTAAAAGTAAATATCTTTTACTTGGCATATAAGATTTTACAATGCTCTTGATTCGAAAAATGTTTTCCTTAAAGGCATCAATCAGCGTATACTTAGATAATACCTTATCTCAAAGATCAAAAATGTAGATCTTTTGCGTTTTTTATTCGTACGTAAGTAACGTACTTATGTACGTTACGTTACGTACAATACTTATAACGTACCGGTTAGAAAAAAAAAAGATGAAATCATGTGATTACACAAATACAGAAATTATATAAAAAAATAACGTGATTTTTGATCATTTCCAAAAAAAGAATAATATTTGATATATAAATTTTTTTTTTTCGTGTCAAAAAAATTGCGCAATCGAAACGTTAAAAATTTATCATTCCTTTTTAAAAGAAATATAATTGACGGCATCATAGTAAATCTAATATCTGATATTAAGTTTAATCTTAAATCAAAAAATAATATATATATATATATACATATATATATGCGGTACATACATACCATACGTAGGTAGGTACAGTATGTACGTACGTACCCGGTACAAGAAAATCTTTTCCAATGAAAAATTCATTTAATTAAACCATCAATTAAACCAAGTTTTGACGTTAATACCATGTAAAATCATGTAAAACCATGTAAAAAAAAAAAAATATATATATATAATATATATACATATTTGATTTTGATATATTGATTTTTGAATACGTATACATTGATAAAAAGAATCGGACTAACCAAATTAATATTGATAACCTAATTTTGACCAAAAAGATTTGAATGGTTAACATTTATATTTTTGTTCGTAACACAACCTCCATTTGGGAGAAAGATCGAAAGTTGGAATGCTTTATGCATAAAGACGATCAAATAGTATATCTTATCACGTATCGGTATGCATAATGATAAGAATACCTTACATACTTTACATAATTCTTTTATGTAGGTAGATACGTACGTACTGTATGTACGAAATAAATTTTTTAAAACATTAAGTATTAAATTTATTATCTTGATTTTGATTAAAACTTAATATTAATTCAATTTTATTAATTCATTAATACAAGTATATATCGATATAATATAATAAAATATAAATATAAATTTAATAATGTGATTATACATACAGTAAAGATATGCAAAATAAAATAGTAAATTG